ATCATTAAGCACAACCATCCCTGACATAGTACCTGGCTGCTGTGCTGCTTTGGCCTGATCAACCGCGTAGATTCGGGCCTGCTGTCTGCCCCTCTGTTGCTGCTGCTGAGGCTGCCTCTGCGCCTGCTGACGTGGCTGCTGCTGCTGTGGTGGCTGCTGAGGCTGCTGGGGCTGCTGCTGAAGTCTCTTCGGACAGCGACTCGCAAAATGTCCAGGCTCGTGGCAGTAGTAGCAGATGTCCTGTCCCATATGGCACTCTCCCCGATGAAGTCGTCCACAAGTCGGGCACGGTGGAACCTACTGCTGTCTCTGTCGGGTCCTTCGGTCAGTCTGTGCGCCCTTCCCCTTCCTCTTCTTCTCCTTGGCCAGCTAAGCAGTTGGTAGAGTGGGTGGAGCTGCGAATGGCTGAATTGGGGCGGATGGCTGGGCACGATCATGGACAGCCTCCCTCCTGATGCTAGCGTCCACCTTCTGGGCGATAAAAACTGCACGAGCGTAGGTCTGTGTCCCGTGTCCCACGATATTATGACGGACTGCTGGGTAAAGCCCGTCGATGAACCACTGCGCTCTCTGAGCCTCCGTGCGAACCAGGTCCGGGACGAAAGCTGCAAGTCTCGTAAACTCTCGCTCGTACTCATCAACCGTACGAGTGCCCTGCTGGAGTGCTAAGAACTGACGCTCTATCTCTGCCCGATAATAGGAGGGGTAGTACTTTTCGCGGACTAGCTCCTTGAGCATGTCCCACGTACATCCTGCTTTTTCCCCAGGACGCATGCTCCAGTAGGCATTCCACCAGAGCCTAGCATCACCAGTGAGCTGAAGCTGAGCGCAGATTACGCTATATCTATCGGGGCAGTCCATGACCTCAAAGATAAACTCCAAGCCCTGAATCCATTCATCTACAATGCGGGGATCTCCCTGCCCTGAGAACTTTTCAGCGTGATAGTCGCGGAACTGTGCGACTACAGTAGCCTGAGTAGGATCCGGATGATCGGGTTCCCTACGTGGCGGCATCTGAACATTGAGAAAGTTTAACATTATTGAATACATGATAACATTCTGACTGATTACTAAGGCACACAGATCTCTTGACGAGTTGCAAAAAATGGCCGATAATTACTGACATGAATCCTGAAGAACTCTAGAGTCATATCGGAAGATATTAATGTCTAGAGTCATATCTGAATGCCCTGAATGC